ACCAAAGATTTGTCAATCAGGGTGACGTGTAGGTTGAAAGTGACCCCTCTCAAAGTCTTGCCTAGTTTGGGCGTAGAGAGTTGCGTGGTGGGGTTATCCAAGGCACAGTGCCAACCTGCGTGTTGAGTGTGGCCTTGCGCAATTGTATGAACAATGTTTTCTCTACTTAATTAATACTCCCTCCGTTCGAAAATACTTGTCATCAAAATGGATAAAAAGGGATGTATCTAGACTTCTAGATACATCCCTTTTTATCCATTTTGATGACAAGTATTTTCGGACGGAGGGAGTACAACTCTCTATTTAAAAAAGTGACCCCTCTGAAACAGCCCAACAATCAGATGCAAGTGGTTTCTTGTGTCCCCAACACACCCCAATACAATTGCTAATTGTATACGTGCACTACTTCGACTAGGAGATTGAAAATTTGGGTGATAGATTGATGGTTTGAATGATAATTTTTTTTCCTGTATTTTCAAAATAAATTAGGCAACAAGGCAAACAGTAGTAAAAGTGAGTAATAAAATGGTGTGGCAATGCTTGGAACAAGGCCGAGGGTTCATACTTTCTCTGGTGCTGAATCTCAACATCACTAACATAACTAAAACACCTGGTGTACCCTCAAAAAGTGCGGCAAAGAATCACCCCAAGTTCCTTTTTTTGTTGGATCAAAGTAGGATGAGATAATGTAGGTATGGTTAGGCGCACCTCTCTTTCTAATCATGATCCATAGGGCAGCCCCAATGTAATTTCAGACAGCCCCCAAAGTTAGACTAAACAATCACCTCATAATCGTATCGTTAGCGTTCTAATGTATTATCCATAGAGTCATCCCAATGTCACTATGGACATCTCCCAAAATTATACTCGACATGCATCATGATCTCAGTGATTCCCAAAAGATTCAGTCCAACATTTGAGTTTTGGTGCTCAACCCTTACACCCCGTTTGGATGTTGATATTGGGGCCTTAAAATTGATATTGGCATTGGGGCAGCCCGAATGCCATTGTTCGGATGGTCACATAATTGACTCACTGAATTGGCCCGCGATATTCGCTAGCCTACTCTTGCAACCCACCTCGCTATTCTCGAATTCAGAGAACAAGAGCTCGACTTCGTGAGACATTCGGGATTGCTCGCTCGACTTACCGCTTCGCTCACTCTCAAGCGAAAAGAAACATGCCAAACATGCGGTCTAGGAGACGAATGGAGGCGCGACGCAGGAGCTCCCGACGGTGCTGCTTAGCCCCTCTCAACCATCAACTTCTCCCATCTCTTCAGCGGATCCACTCCTCTCCTGCGTGCCTACCTCTTTCCCCGCATGCCTTTCTCCCTCCTTGCGATCCCATCCTCCCTCCCCGCGTGCCCGTCCTACTGCCGCCGTTGGCCTGACCCACCACCGCACGCATGCCCCCCCATGGCAGATGGCTCGACAGCCTCTTCCCCCATGGTTGCTACTTCCTATAGCCCATGGCCACCGTCACCTGCCCCCTCCCTATCCCTAGGTAGAAACCCTAATCCTCTAATCCCCTCAAACCCCCACACTTATGTGTTGATATTCTGATATATTTTAATCTTTTGCAGGTAGTGGATTTGAGCTTGGATCCCAAGCAGGACATATCCAAAGTACTTTGATGTGGTTTGTGTGTGATGTTGATACAAAATTTGCTTCAGGTGCAATGTATAGACTGCCCAAAATTATATCGAAGTACAATGTTCATCCTATGGCAAATGACCAATTCCAATGTACAGTCTGGCCATCCAAACGAGCTTCGCAATTGAGCCTCTCATGCAAATTCCAGATGTCAATTTTGTGAACATCCAAACACCACAATTCAGGTGCAATGTCAATATCAAAGTCATGGAGATTTGATATTAGGTCCAATTGAATTCAAGGCCTTGAATATCAACATCCAAACAGAGCATTAGTGAATTGAAACTTTATTTCTCATTCCTCTTTATGATGACGTCCATTTGTATTGTTATTATGGTTTTTCACACCATCAAAAGTTCGTGAATTTTTTTTCAATTCTAAGTCTCTAAAATTTACACTCATTTTTTCTTTTAGTAAAATTTTATTTTATTTTCATTGCAGCCATTATTAGGGGAACAAAAAACTACACATTTTCCTCCTTCAAAAATCTTAGACAACAAAAAAGAATAATTGGTGCGACGATGAAAATTTACTTTGAATGACTCAGCCATGATAGGTAGGTATAATGGACTCTTTACGACATAAACTTTGGTTAAAGGATTTCTTATGCACAAGCAGAATTTCATGCTTATTACAGGAAAAGTCTAGCAAAAGGCTACAATGTGAGCATAGAAACCACATTCATGCATTCCTTGATAGTAACAACATTAACAAAACATAAAACATGAGAATAACCTACAAATCCGAATACCACCAACACTTAACTGGAATTTATAAAAAATGTGTAAACATGTGTACTAATACAAATCATCTGTGCTTCACTAGGAGATACTCACTACCACAACACGATTGGTCCATCTTAATTTTGCAACAAATGTTCTTTACCATTATTTTATAACTTCCAATTTGATTAAAGATCTAGGCTACCGTAGTTTACGTATACTTTGATAAATTAAGGAGGGATGCATGTTTACTCCTCAACACATATATAATTTGAAGTGCATGATATTCAATTCATTCAAGAGTTTACTCTAAGGATATAAGTGACGCACAAGAGAAATTAATTAAGAAGCTACTCTAAAAGATACAAGTGAAGATCAAGGAGTAGTAGATCAAATATGATAATGCTCTCAGAAGACATAGATAATTGTTCCATTGATCCAACACAAAACAAAGAAGGGAATTTTTTTTATTGTTTTACTTTATGTAAAGAAACACAAAGAAACAAAACAAAGCAAATGAAAAGCATAAAACCAAAGGAGAAGAGAACAAAAACAACAATAAGCAAATTCTTTTCCCAAATGATAAGCGCCACACGTGTGACACGAAGCACTCCGAGCCTGACATTTTTACAAGTAAAGTTGCCATCCGGAAATACAAACACAAAAAAAAAACAATGAAACTTTCCTTAAAAAAAGTTGACATGCTTGACAACTAAAGTTGCCATCCTCGGGTCATTAAACTTGCCACAAAAAATGTTCGGAGTTGCCGTGTGTTCGTGCCACACATGTGGCACTTATCAGGGGGGGGTTGTTTTTGTAGAAAAAAGTCATAGGAAACCAAAATAAGAACCAATGAAAAAGTAAGAAAATATTTTTGATTCATTTTCTAAAGACAAGAAAGCAAAGGAAAAACGAATGTATTCTTTTTGGAGTTTTTATTGAGAAGACATAAGAGGCAAACAATAACCAAATGAAGATGCAAATGAAAGTAAATGAAAGATCGATAGAAGACTTGTAATTTCAAAGGGATCTTGTTCAAAGATATAAGTGCAAAGAGCAATTCTGGAAATAGGTAGCTATGTATAAACTCTCTCTCTCTTTCTCTCTCTCTCTCTCTCTCTAAATCATGATGTTCACATGTGATGATCTGCAAACAAAAGCAAAGGACGCTCCAAGAACAATGCATAACATGTGGATAAATAAAAACATAGATTCAATAGAGACAAATCGATAATTGTTGATGAAGAAGATATGCCTTGAGTATAACCAAGCTTATACTCTTGATAATTCTTACCCCTTAAAAAAATTTATTAAAATATTTCTAAGGTGTTTGACACGTACTCCCTCCGTCCGGGGCAAGCTTTTTCGGACGGAGGGAGTACCCAGTTTCTCAAGTTTTTTTTGAGGTTTTTTTTTAGTGTCTCCCAGTTTCTCAAGTGAGGAGAGCAGTGCGTGTCGAATTCAACCGCGGCCCGGCCCGAGAATATCCGTGCGGTCCGGCGCTCAGTGAGACCAGGCCCAAATTACCGTTCTTTGTTTTGCTGCTATGCGGGCCCGTTTATATCCTCCCCCGCCGCTTCCCCGGCCGGCGGCCGGCGAGCGCGAGCTTGGACGCCGGCGTCGCACTTACCACTCGAGTTCGCCGCCGGCTAAGCAAGTTCCTACCGGAACGCCCATCCTCTGCTCGGGCCAGGACCTCCTGCGGAAGCTAGCCGCCGTTTACCCTAGTTCGGCGAGCGATTTCCCGGGTGTGCCTCCACGCCGCCGTCAGACATTTCAGCCGGCGCCGTCGCGCTCGCGCAGCTGCTGATCAAATTCGGCTCCGGCTAAACCATCTGAACCCCATCACTCCTCTGCTCAGAGCAGGCGCTCCTGCGGATCTGCCATGGTAACCCCTCTGCTTTCCTTTGCCTTCTACTCTACTACTAGTGTGTTCCTACCTAGTGAGCCTGGGAATTTATTGATTTGTTGCCTGCTTGCAGTTGCAGGGTTCTCTTGTGATTCTGAGAGTGACTAGCAGACCAAGCACTCAAAAATAATGGCAGAAATCGGGATACATGGCCGAGATGACAGGATAAGGTAATCCCCACAGGTCTCATCTCTTAATTAACCATTTGCATTATAAGTCAAAAAATCCAATGTCTAGTTAATATAGTACTAATAAAACATGATTTCGCTCTTGAGTAGAAACCTGTACCCCTAATCCATGCCTACCCATCCATTCACATTGTAAATTTGTTATTCTGTGAAAAAATATGGCAGGATCAATCCCTTTTGCTCTCCTTTTTGTTTTAATATAGGAATGGGGACATTCTAGTACCTTGGCTTGTGAGGTTAATCAAATTGTGAGAATTGCTATTTTGACTTCACCAATTGAAAATTATGGGAGACAGGGGGGAAAGAACATCAATGGCAGAATAAGGCAATCTTACAGCTTCTCATTATTCAACGATAACATTGCGAATCAAGTCTAGTGGCATATGTTTCTATTTAACATAGTAGCATATAGCATTACATGAAGATGTCTTATAAGCTATAGACAAGGCGGATCCTATATACTCCTCACATTAAGTATGCCCCTCAAATTTGTGGTATGCCATGCATGGTCATACTTCTTCATGCTTTATAGCACGGGATGATTTTCAGACGAGACAAAGGGCTTAGGGGGAATCTGCAGATTCTGCAACCTCCCCGTTAACATGTTTACCACCTTCGTCATCGATGGTCGATTCTTCGGGTTCCACTGGATACACCACAGTGCCACAATAATCAGCTTTCTTATGTTTTCTTTCTCTTCTTGTGTCGTTTCCAAAGTAACCCCCAATTCTTCTTCAGTGGTGACTTTCTCGTAGACCCACTCCGGGAGATATACCTCGTGTTGGCTCTCAACACTTGGGTCTGAATTCCTCCTTCCACTCACCATTTCAAGCACCAGCATGCCGAAACTGTACACATCGGACTTGTAGGATATTCCCCCAAAGTTTGGAGAATATAGCTCCGGTGCAATGTAGCCCATTGTGCCTCTTGCTGCAGTTAAGGTAATAATGCTTTGGTCTCTCGCACACAGCTTTGCAAGGCCAAAGTCTGAAATCTTTGGATTGAAGTTGTAGTCCAGCAAGATGTTGTGTGGCTTGATGTCAAAGTGGAGAATGCGCTGGTTGCATCCTTGATGTAAGTACTCCATCCCCCTAGCGACACCTAAAGCAATCTCTAGCATTTTTTCAGGCACTAGGAGTCGTCGAGAAATATTCGAGTCATGCGAGAATATGTGTTTCTCTAGTGATTCATTAGGCATGTACTCATAAATAACAGCTCGCCTCGTTCCTTCGGAGAAAAATCCCAGGAGGCGGACAATATTTGCATGGTGGATCAGTCCGATGGTTGCAATTTCATTGATAAATTCTTGTCCCTCTCCTGTAGAGTTCTCTAGCATCTTGACTGCCACCGGAAGTCCATTTGGTAGTTCGCCTCTGTACACACTTCCAAATCCACCATGTCCTACTTTATCCTTGAACCGTCTTGTTATCTTCTTAACTTCAGAGAAAGTGTACCTTGTGGGTTTTGATGTGCCATATGTCTTGAGAAACATTTCGACCTTCAAATGTATCTCTTTGTTATATCTTGTCTTCAGCGAGTGGTAGAGTACAGTAGCCACCGTCAACAAAAGAACAACAAATGCGGCTGCTGACGAAGTAGCTGCATAAACAGAATATATATAGTCAGCATATTGCATTAGGAGAGAAAGCCATCACTTAGTGAATGACTGGTTGCGATGATGATGATAAGAGAAATCCAGACTCAGAGTAATCAACAAAAGGAATTTATGCATGGTAAATGACTTTGTTTATTTTCTTTCTCATTTGAATAAAATGGGAAGTACAGGTTGTAATAGTACCTGCAATGACTTTGACATGCAAACCTGCAAATGTCAAACAAGAGAATAAGATCCGACTGATGGTTTATAGTAAATACAAGTGAAGTTTGCTTCTCTACAATAGAAGGAAATATGACAGTTATACAAGATGGCTGCGATACGTAGCCTTAAAAATTGCTATCAACTACCATGTGCTTTAGTTGAGTCTCTAGTCTAAATTACTGGAATCCAGTTATCCCAGTATGAAGCTACGGTATAAAATATACAGGAATTATTGCGATCACGTAGGCTTTAGCCAGTTAGTTTCAAAGACAAAAGAAGATAAACAAATGAAAGGAAAAAAGGATACCATGAGGCCTATGGTCTATGCAGAATGTTTGATTCCTTTGCGAGCTGAATGCACAACTCTGCCCATCACGCTCACATTTCGTGCAATTGTCAGGAATGCCATTGTCACCCCAACTAACAGTTATTTCAGAAAAACTAATTATTCTTTCTGACATTTGCTTGAACGTCGAGCCATATGTGTCTGTGAGCCCCATCGGTATCAGAACATTTGAGATGGCCTTGCAGTCCAGTGGAAGCGCGTACATGTATAGACGAGCAATCACCAAATAGACAAACTGGCTTTGGTTGCTAAAGCAAGAGATTGGGCCAACAATATAATCGGCAGCCTTTTTAATAATGTAGTCATCGTCAACTTGAGTAGTGCTACTTGGTGTGAGCTCTCTTGAACATTGTACTATTTTTCCAGGTGTGGCCTGGTATAATGGACAACGAAGGTAGGCATCATCTGGTAGATTTGTGGAAATGAGTTTCTGAAGAGGGCATGGAGACAAGGAGTGTACGAGTGGGATGATGATGAGGGTAGCACGGCTGTAATCTATAGCGGTCACTTTGCACGGGCCAAGGAGTGGGTGGAGTAGGATGACGTCTTGGCCGGAGCAAGCCAGCTTCGCGCATGTCGCACCACATGGTGAAGATGAGCTGCTGGTTTCAAGCTGGAGCGGGAACCGGACCTCAGGACCATCTTTGCTGCACCGTGACGGCGGGCAGTATCTGAAGAAATCCTGGTCATCCCAGCCTGGTGAAGCTATGGGCATGCCTGTACTGTGGCCAAGAACAGAGACCACGAGGACCGCAGCGACGAGAAATATACTACTCATCTTTGTCAAACCGCGCTGCAGAGATGGCTGAATGGACATGAAGACGAAGCTAAGCAATGAATTTGCAGGTAAGAAATCGAAGTAGAGGAAGAAAATCACTGGCACAGGTCGTGTTGGACTGAGCTAGCTGGAGCTCATCTCTCTATCTGTGGCTGATAAGAGAGATGTAGCTAGCAGGGGGAGGGATGTGCCAGAGATGAGCATGAACTTTGCAAGCCTGTGTACATTTATAGTAAACAACCGGTGCTTATTGCAAGTGCCTGATAAGAGAGGTGTGGATGCAACTTCTTGCCGTGGTCTGAAATCAGTATGTGCTTGCTGGAGTCCACTGTGGAAATGAGGAAGTCAGAAGTCTTCAGGAATAATAAAAACAATTGGTCCACTAGCTGTTGAGCGTTTTGAAGAATAATATTTGTCTCCTGTCCTTAGCTGATGCACATGTTTCAAAGTATTCCTTTGGTCTCCTGCTCTACTTTGACTGGGTTTGGCTCGCAAGCACCATGGCTCCTTCCGCTTCGGTTCCCTGGGTTTCTTGTTGTGTTTGACCAAGTCAACCAATGTCAGGGTGGCAACCATTATCATTACCAATCAGCTCCAAATCCCGGCAGCTTCTCCCTTGCTGCTGTGTGTGAACCAACCGACCTACCATGGTTTCTTCTCTCTACATTATGTGGCCAAAGGATGAAGACGAGCAACAAGTGAATGGGGACAGCTCGTAGCATCTCTCTCTACTTTGACTGGTTCAACTTGGAAGCACCACCGCTGCTTCCCTTGTGCTTGTGCAAATCCATGCCAGGGTGGCATTAATAACCAGCTATTAGCTCCAGCAGCATCTATATTGCAGTGTGCGAAGCGAACCAACCGACGTCCTGCCATGGCGCTTCATCTCTCTACCACCAGGCGAGCCTTAACCATCTTTGCTGTGTTTGTGCTTGCAGTGCTCATTGGAGATGTCCAGGGTCGGCATCCATGTCAACCTTTCTCCTGTGGACATCTCCGAAACGTGTCGCATCCTTTCCGCCGGCAAGGCGATCCACATAGGTGCGGTGTTCAATCATATGAGCTGGTCTGCACCGGCGGCAAGGCCAAAATTCAGATCAACACAGGGGCATACTTTGTCACCGAGATCAACTACACGAGTTCGTCCTTCTGGGTCGTGGATGCCAGCTTAGACATGAACAGCAGCTGCCCTCTTCCTCGCTCGGATCAGTTTCCTTATTTCAGCGGAGTCCAAGGGCCACACAAGAGCCGGGAATTGGTCCCTAGTGATAGAGTTATCAGGGCTAGCTTCGTGAACTGTTCGCGGGCTGTGACCACGAAAAGTTGTTTTTCTGGCTTTATGCCAGTCGCCTGCCTGAGCACCAACTACTCCTTCGTTTATCTTGTGACAGACAATGTGTATGTGGAAATCTTAGAGCCTTCTTGTGGTTACCTGGCTGTGTTTCTTTTTGGTGGTCGGGAGATCGACCATGACTTCCGCTATTATGCAAATTTTGTTGAGTACATGAGGGTTGGATTCTCTGTTCAATTCCCTCAGACGGAAACTCCATTGAATTATATTCACTACATCAACCGCTGCATCGACTGGTCAATTCAGTGAGTTTCGGATCTTGTTCCATTCTATTTGATTCGCCCATGTATGAATCAACCTGAACTTCTTTGATACCTTTTTTTCTGTGCCATGCATGCAGCGACCCAAATGGAGAGCCGTTGTTCAGTACAGGCATCAGCATCAGGAATAGGATCATGGACATCCTTTATATCGACTTCCGTTTCTGGGCATGCATATTTGGTGTGAAGAGACCATATAACAGCGTAGTTCTCTATATCAGAGACATGGTTACTTCTGATGACTCACTTTATCATAAGTTACCCCCAATACTTGCTATGTGGATTCTGAAGTGGATTGCTGGTACGTTACAATACCTTTTCTTTTTTACTTTTTCTTTCTTTTCTTCTGCCAGTAACAAATACTACTGTATAACCTCATCAGAGCAATCCCATATATTCAAACTTGTTTATATGCAGTACTATGCAGGTTCGTGTTGGTGCCGCTCGTTGTATTGTTCTACCTTGCCCACAAGTATTGGAAAACAAGGATCACAATTGATGCAGTCGAGAAGTTCCTCCGAATGCAAAAAATGGTTGGCCCGACAAGGTACGCCTACACGGACATAGTTGCAGTGACAGGCCATTTCAGAGATAAATTGGGCCAAGGTGGTTATGGATCGGTATTCAAGGGCTTGCTACTCCCCGGCAATGTTCATGTGGCCATCAAGATGTTAGATGGTAAAGCCAATTGCAATGGAGAAGATTTTATCAGCGAGGTCTCCACCCTCGGCAGGATCCACCACGTCAATGTGGTGCGTCTGGTTGGGTTCTGCTCGGAGGAAATGAGGAGGGCACTGGTCTATGAGTACATGCCTCGAGGTTCGCTTGACAAGTACATCTTCTCAGCCGAGAAAAGTTTCTCCTGGGACAAGCTCGTCGAGATTGCTATGGGCATTGCCCGAGGGATCAACTACCTGCATCAGGGGTGTGACATGCAGATTCTGCACTTTGACATCAAGCCGCACAACATCCTTCTTGATAGCAATTTTGTACCAAAAGTAGCTGATTTCGGTCTTGCCAAACTGTATCCGAGGGACAGCAGTTTTGTGCCATCTAACGCCTTGAGGGGAACTGTTGGGTACATAGCTCCTGAGATGATATCTCGAAGTTTTGGTGTCGTATCGAGTAAGTCGGATGTGTACAGTTTCGGGATGCTGCTGCTCGAGATGGCTGGCGGCCGCAGGAATGCTGATCCCAATGCCGTTAACTCAAGTCAGGCATACTACCCCTCATGGGTGTATAGCCGGCTAACTGAGCAACAATTGGATGAGGGTGAGATATCTTCTGCAGTGGCTGAGATGCACGAGTTGGAGAGGAAGCTATGCATTGTTGGTTTATGGTGCATCCAGATGAGGTCTCTTGATCGTCCGACAATGAGCGAGGCAATAGAGATGCTGGAAGGTGGCGCTGATGGCCTGCAAATGCCATCTAGGCCATTCTTCTGCGATGAGGGGCGCACCCATGTAGATGATTCTTACCATCTATCATCTGAGCTGACTGCAATCTCTGAGGAGGAGGATATGTGAATGTGATTTAATGTATGGGGCGATGCATGTAGCTCACAAAAAGTTGCAGCTGCGGTTGTAATTATACCGAGTATGAATTAACCCCAAGTCATGTGAACTTCTATGCGGAAACATGTACTCCCTCCATTCGGAATTACTTGTCGCAGAAATTAATGTATCTAGACTTATTTTAGTTCTAGATACATCCATTTTCGAGACAAGTAATTCCGAACGGAGGGAGTAGTAGCTAGCAGTTGGAGGATGGAGGACCCAAGTTCTGTATCCATGCTTAATTGCTAAAATGCAATCATCTTCCTGGAAGACATATACTACTACGTATTAGCTAGGTGAGTAATAGCTTGCCAAAACTGAAGTTATATTCTGCACTTTCTGTAGAAACTTTGGTAGCACGAACATAGCGGTTGATATAATGTAATATTATGGTTTGCTTCTATTGGAGTTAGAAAGTACTCATTGTCTCAGAAATGCAGAGTACTCTGTCTCTGATATTTTGGTTCAGCTGCTGCTGAAATTACTGTTTGCTTTCTGTTACTGCTTCTCCTTTATCAACATGCATGACTACTGTCTCTGATAAATAAATACAGTAGATCCCAAGAGACAAGAAATTAAGTTCATTTTTGGTGCGCTACAAATGGGCTAGCACTCCAGGGGATGGGCCATCAACTGGTGACGAAAAACTTATTGGTCAAGCTTTGTTTAGCAGCACTTGTTGGTCTTCTGCGGGCAGCCTTGCTGGATGCACAGAAAGCTTGCGGGCGCTCTCTGGATGGGCGGGCTGGAGCAGACAGCGGCAGTGCAGGCGTGCAGCTGCGCGGTCGGGACTTGGAGATCGCCAGTGGGACTACCTAGATCGCCGCCGATTCTGCCAGAGCCCCAC